AAGCTGTAAAGGCCAGCTGCGGCCAACAGCATTAGAATAGTTCGAAAAAAAAACTTATAAAATATATTTATAAATATATATTATTTAAGCATTTCTATCAGTTGTCTAGTACCCATAACACAAGCTCCAATTAGCTTGGGGCTAGATGGCGTTTTGTAAATTGTCCTGGGTTATTATTATTCTTATTATGAATGTTATAAAGAGGCTTAGATAATTATTATTTAAGGATTTATAATTAAAAAAGAAAAGATAAATTCATAGCGGATGAAGTAGCGTGTAACAGCTAGTATGTAATATTATAAAGTATAAAATGTATAAAATACAGATACACATCTGTCTGTTATCTCAATCAAACTTTATATGATAATAGACTCTAACTTACGGATGGATATAGATTATCTTCTATCTTAGTAATAATATGGAAGGGGGTGAAATAAGGGATGAAAGATGTGCAGAAAAAGATGTGAGAAATAGATAGTATATCTTATATATTAAATTCTCGTGTCAAAATGTCAGTTACTGACTATACTCCTCCGAAACGGCTTGACCGATTTTTATGATTTTATAGGCATATCCAGTAGGTCTGAGAATCGGCTACTATATATTTTTCATACCTCTAAGTGATAAGGGTTGTCCACTTCTAACATTTTATTTTAATTTTTTTTTTAAATACAACCCTAAATTTTTACGATTCTATCACCAACCCCTATTTTTAATAGTGTATTTAATTTATATGGCAAAACGTTTGCGTGGTCAGCTAGTAATATATATAATATACAATATTTTTGTAGTCATATATCATATAGTATACATTGTTTGTATACATTTGCATAGGGAACACTAATTTGCGAGATGACAAGTTTCTGTCAATGACCCAAGCCCCATATAAGCCCCTTATTACTTTCCAAGAACCTACAGACTAGTTAATTGCAGAAAGCATGTTTACAAGTAAACATTTACAATAGCTTATCACTTTGATGTTACATTATACACATGTTATATACGTTGTATATTGACGGCCTCGATGGTGTCGTGGTTAAGCGAACTGCTTTCCTTCCGATGGTCGCGAGTTCGATTCCTCGCACGGTGCAAACATTTGTATTCATGAGTATGACTGTTCGTATCGGTTTGGGCGTTTTATATGTATTTACAAAAAAATATCTAAGTATTTATATCGCTTGTCTAGTACCCATAACACAAGCTCTGTTTACCGTGGGACAAGTTGATGCTGTGTTAATTGTCTATGGTTATTTATTTATTATTATTTATACATTATGTACTAGCGACCTGTTTCGGCTTCGCACAGATGTATAACAAATATCTCAATTTGTCAGCTTACTCTTTAACATGTATCTATTATACATATAAACATTCCTCTTGAATCATCAAATGTAAATCTATATATAAATGTAGATGTTAATCTATATAAATAAATTATGAAAATTATAAATTATGAATCACTCTATCTATTTCTGAAAACTGCAGTAAAATCCGTAGCCTAATTTAAAAGATATAAGCGTACAGACAGCGGCGGTGACTGTTTTATACTATGTAAAGATAGGTACTTGTTACAAACTAGACTAGACTCTCATATGTAATTAAATTAATTTATGTGTCTACGTTAACATGTTTATATAACGAAATGTTATTTCATTATGTTTATATGATGAATAATTTTATTAGGTATATTATAATATGGCATATGGAGAATTGATTTATAAAATACTTTATTACACCAACATTGAAAGGATATGAACATAATGAAAACTTTAAAAAATAAAATTAAATACGCTAATACTATCTCTTATATACCTATATCTCTGTATAAAACAGAGTATTTACAAAAAAAAAATAAGTAGCGCATGAATTGAAATAACTATTAATAATAAATATGAATATAAATTTTAGCTTTTTAAATCTTGATAGTATTTATGGACCTGGCTTATTGTTCATTATATGATCTTCGCGTCTAACCTTTGGAAAAGAGTATTCACAAAAAAATAAAGTAGCGCATTAGTGGTAATAAGTTATAAAAATAAATATGAATAAGAAATATAGTTTTTTTAATCTTTATAGTTTTTACGGACCTGGCTTCTTGTTCATTATATCATCTCCGCGCCATTCCATCATCATCCATTCATGTACAACGGACGTCTCTAATTTATTTCCAGTCAAGTCTATGGTATAGCTGACGGCTAACAATTTCTATCAGGTGGGTCGACAATTTATCATTCCAGTTACATAAAAAAGGCAGGTGACGGCCATTATTTTAAAATATGTCTTTTGATGAATATGTATGGTGTTTTTTTTCGAACTATTCTAATGCTGTTGGCCGCAGCTGGCCTTTACAGCTTCACCGAGTGATGGGGGTGAGAGCAGATGGCACTGTAGGAAGGACTTATGGAGCGGCTGAATGTCAAATCCCGCCTGACGGTTACGATATTTGTCTAAGGGCATCGCTAGGAGTTCGAACCTCGGCTCAGGGCGTCGTAATTTCGATCAAATTCAAATTCAAATTCGGCGGCGGCGGAAATCGTAATCGATTGTCTTTTTATCTTTTATTGAAATGTAACGTGAAGATAGATTGTGTAACGAGGACGAACATAGAAGGTGAAATAGGGAATGAAAGATTGTATAGACGAAATCGAGAGTAATAGCTAGTGACGTTACAAATTTATACATTTTTAGAAGTCTATGAAGCACACAATCTTTTTTGTTAATGAGTAAAATCAAACAAAACAAATTGCCTGTCTCATCTGATTCTCTTCAGATGAGACAGGCAATTTGTTTTGTTGAGGCAAAATAAGAACAAAAAATTGAAACAAGTAGATGCAGTATTCCAATGACAGGGCTCAAAAAGCAGAAAATGAATACACAAAGTACTCGGCAACGAAGAGAAACTTCTAAGTGAATGTTACCGTAGTGCATTTTTTATAATAATACTTACTTCTTAATCATCATTACATAGTATAAAACAAAGTCGCTGTCGCTGTCGCTGTCGCTGTCTGTCCCTATGTATGCTTAAATCTTTAATACTACATAACAGATTTTAAAGCGGTTTTTTTAAATAGATAGTGCGATTTAAGACGAAGGTGTATAGGTATATATCATACGTGTACACCCGTGCTAAGCCGGGGCGTGTAGCTAGTAATATTATATTATAAACGGGAAAGTTTGTGAGTATGAATGGATGGAGAGATGGATGTTTTATATATTATATTACGATGGTGGCAAATAAGCATACGGCCCATCTTATGGTAAACGATTACGGTAGCCTAGCATACTTGAAACACCAGGGGTTTCACATTCGCGTTGCCGAACCTTTCACGCATAAACTATTGAAGGAATTTTGATGAAACTTTACAGTAATATTGCTTATACATTATGATAACATATAGACTATAATTTAAAAAGATACGGAAATTGGGCGAAATATAATGATACATTTCAAGTAAGTGTAATGAAGATGGGGTTGCGCGAGTTAGCTAGTATATAACAATGCAAACTATTATAAATCAAGTCATATTTTTTATATAGAGTCGCCGTTTTTTTTTAATTATTTATTAAGCATTATATAATATGCGTATTGCATGCATGCATACAGTACAATTTTTAGGGTTGTACTCGCCCATGATAAGCTGCTTGAGTAAGTTGATAAATTCTTGAGCTTATCAAATTACAAGTCAAAAGCTACTTTCTAAGCACCTACACATCGATGAATGGCTTCCAGTGAAACCCTAGTGATTAACTTGTCCATTGCTAGTCAACTAATACCTTTTAAAGATTCAATTTCACAAGAGATTGTGACGTATAACAGAACAAGTCTATTGGAAAAACGTTATGAAGAAAAATGTTAATCTGTATATTAGCTTTCCATAGACTATTTTTTTTTATTTCATTAGTTATATAATATTATGTTGTCTGTGGTTTTATTAACGAATACGTCGATGTATACAGTTATATTTCGTTATCCACAAATTTGTACGATTATTAATTTTTACTTTAAACATTTTTTAACCGACTTAGAGATGAAGAAGGTTTTAAAATTGACTATATTTTTTGGCAATCTTCATGATTCTTTTTTCTTTCGTGCGAGGAATCGAACCCGTGACCATAGCAAGTAAGACGGTGTTCTCAACCGCTAGACCACCGAGACCAACGATTGATAGCTTTGTACACGAAAAAGATTTAGTTGTAAGGAAATAATGTAGCCAATATTTAACTTGGGAACAAGTAACAGACTCCTTTGTAATAAGACAAAGGAAAGTTTCAAAGCGAAATGAAATTTAGTCAACTAGTTGAGACGTTGGGAATTAAGCATTTGATAACTTGACATCTTGGAAACGTATTTTATTTGTTGAATGTACAAGTTCAGTAGCTGGGGCTATATTGTACCTTTTTTCTACACTACAATGATGGCAAACATACGGCCCATCTGATGGTAAACGGTTACCATAGCCTAAACGCCTGAATTATAAAGAATGGAGGTGTGCGTTGCCGACCTTTGAGAAATCTTAATATAATGTTCTTGAAAAACTACTTGTAGTCTCGCGAGAAAACGTCGGCAGGTAGTTCATTCGACATCATGACAAACTTACTTTGTAATTCAATTGGCAGTTACTTCGTAACTGAATTTCAATTTAGTATAATAAAAAAAAAACTATTTCAATAACTCTGTGTAATCTACGGTATATAAACAACTTGCAAACAAATTATGATATGTAAAAAATAAAATGATATAACACTTCTTCCGTTCTTATTAAATTACAGGAATTAATAGCAATTCCTGTAATTTAATAATAACGGAAGAACTGTTCACTGAGACAAAGTCTAACTTTTTTATGTGGGTAGCTTAACTGACAACACACTAAAATAAGAGCTCTGTATTTATTATTTAAATTAATTAATATATTTACAGTTACATAATTTATTTATGCTAAATTTGAAGAGATAGTGTGTTTTTACCTACCAGTATAATTCTCTCCTTTTTATAAATCATAATGGATGCATTACAAAGCACATTTTCATCCATGATGGAACAATTGAATGCAAAGATGGCTGTTTTTCAAAGTGACTTACAGAAAATAAACACAACACCAAGCACTGTGACTACATTAGCGGCGGACTTTGCAGTATTTCAGTCATTTGTATCCAGCACCTTCTGTAATCTGCAGCAGCAGTTGGAATTGCTAAATCGTCAAATGGACCAATTTGAGATGCGTAGCCGTAAGAAGATTCTGTTATTTCATGGAGTCCAGGAGTCCAGTGAAAGCAACGCATCACAGGATACTGTGAAGGTCGTAGCGGAGAAATTAAATATTCACAATTTCTCAGAAGTCAACATTAGTCGGTGTAACAGACTTGGCCGCTCTTCTGGTGATAAGCCTCGTCCTATTGTGGTGAAATTTACTGATCTTGCTCTGCGTAATAAAATTTGGTTCGCTAAAACTGCATTGAAAGGTACAGGAATCACATTCTCCGAATTCCTGACTAAAGGAAGACATGATGCGTTCATGAATGCGCGACGTCACTTTGGCATCAAGAAGTGTTGGACACGCGACGGTTCTGTGATTATTGTTGGAAGTGATGGTGCTAAACACCAAGTTACTACTGCTGCTGAAGTAAACAATATTATAAACTCTCAATCCGACAATGTTTCGGCTGTATCGCAGCCTGCAGTTTCGGTTGCGCAGGAAGCTGGGAGCACTGCAGCACCGAAGGTTCCCGCTGGGGTAGCGGCTCGCGCCAAACGTTTCGTCAGAAAGTGAGAATGTGTTATTCCTCTAATGATTTTTGTATATTGTACTCAACATATAATTAATACATTTCTTCCACTAAAATACGTCACCCAATTGTATTTACACCTTACAAGTGTGTAATCATAATTATAGTCTATCTGGGACGCTGCTTGTTGTCACAACTTTATCCAGGTCATTACTCTAATATTGAAAATGTAGGTAGTTTTCGTAGTTACAAAGCCAATGATATATTAATATTTACTGTTTACATGTAACCAACCTCACAATCACAATCCAGTTTTGTTTTTTTTTTTTATTTTCATTATTATTTTGTCTCTCGTTATCAGTATAATATATTATAATAGTTCGTATTGATTTTGTGGTTGTCGTGTTGACACATGACAAATTGACTTTGTAAAGTGACAAGTGACAGATGTCATATTTGATCATTGAAAACGTAGATGGAGAATGTTATATATTAATATCTTTTTTTTTTTATATTATAATTGTCTTTGATAGCTTCTTTAACTTTTTTTTTTTTTTTTTTTTTTTAAATATTTGAATATCCGATTTGTAATTATTTAAAGGTTAAATAGAGGTTGTTACACATGATTATTCCACTATGTATATATATATATATTTCTCTTTTCGTTTATTACTTGTCATGGATACTTGTATGTGTTATTATGTGTTATATATGTGTTGAAAATTTAGTCCTTTTGCTTTCAGTTATGAATGTCTTAAACGAAAAAATGCATTCATGTCTTACATTCCACTGGCGGGTAGAGACAATGTCTTGTTTAATTCTAGTTATATTTATTATTTTAGTTTAGTATATAGTATTTATTATTATTATTATTATTGTATATTTAGATATAGCTGTATACAATAATGTACGACATGCATAATGTAAGCTTTCACTCTGTCTCCTCATCCTCTTCTACAGACACTAGTTTTTATAGTATACCCACACCCTTAGACGAAATTTTACATACCGACTTCGATAACGTACCCAAAAATTTTAATGTTGTGCACATCAATGCACAGAGCATTCCAGCTCACTTCCCAGACATGCTAGCGTCGTTCGATGTTGCCAATATCCAAGCTATACTCGTCTCTGAATCTTGGTTGAAACCCTGTCTTCCTTCTTCCTGTTACTCGCTGCCTGGCTTTAATCTCATTCGCAATGACCGCGTTGGCAAGGGTGGTGGTGGTGTGGCTATGTATCTCCGTTCACACATTCCCTACAAAATAATTTGCTATTCCAATACTACCAATCCCTCTAATGAAGCTGAATATCTCTTTACTGAAGTAAACCTTTCCCATTCCAAAATTCTTTTAGGTGTTTTCTATAGCCCTTCTCCTTCAATAGATTACTTCGCTCCATTAGAAAACCTTTTGGAAAAGATGATACCATCCTATGAGCATACTATAGTCATGGGTGACTTCAACACCTGCCTACTCAAAAATGACTATCGATCCGATTGTCTACGGTCTGTGGCTAAGGCTTGTAATCTTACTATCCTACCGCTTCGTGCTACACATTACTTCCCTAGTTGCAGACCGTCACTGTTGGATCTCATCCTTGTCTCATCTCCTAGTCTTGTTGCAAGCCATGGTCAACACACTGCGGATGCTTTTTCATTTCACGATCTTATTTTCCTTTCATTCCAAATCCGAACTCCTAAATTTAGACGTAAAATCATCATGCAGCGTAATTTTGGTACCATCGACCTGGATTGCTTGCGCAGGGATGCCCTGGACTCTGATTGGGACTCGGTTCGAAATGCTACTTCTGTGGATGACCAGGTAGACCTATTTAATAACATTGTCACTGAGCTATACGACCGTCATGCTCCTGTTCGACCTGTTCGAGTGAAACATCTACCTGCACCGTGGTTGACTAAGGAAATAAAAGATACTCAGAGCAGGAAAAACAAAGCTAAAGCAAAATTTAAATCCAATCCAGACAAATACCGAGAGCAGTACATAAAAGCTAGAAATTACTGCAATAAGGTGTGTAGAGAGGCACAACGTCGCCACATTCATTCATCTGTAGAAAATAGTGATCCGGCTAAGGTCTGGAAATTTCTTAAAACTCTTGGGGTCGGTAAAAATCACGATTCTAATTCTAAATTTTTCAATGTCGATATAGACAGCCTTAATAGGCACTTCTGTACTTCTACTGTTTTTGATAACAACATTAAAAGAAATACACTAAATCTTCTTTCTACCGCACTAACCCCTAGTTTTCCATCCTTTAATTTTCGTCTGGTTACTACTTGTGATGTTGAGAAGAGCTTGCTATCAATAGGTTCCGACGCTATGGGAACTGATGGTATTGGTCGTACTATGATCCATCTCATCCTTGACATTATCCTTCCAGTAATTACCTTAATTTTTAACAACTCGTTATCCTCAAGTGTTTTCCCTTCCATTTGGAAAGATGCCAATATTATTCCCCTTCCCAAAAAATGTAAGCCGTCCTCGTTCTCTGATTACCGTCCTATTTCTATACTTCCTTTCCTGTCCAAAGTTCTTGAACGACTTGTTCATGACCAACTGAACAACTTCCTTTCCAAAAATCATCTCTTAAACCCTTTCCAATCTGGCTTCCGAGCTGGTCATAGTACGAATACCGCACTGCTTAAAATCACCGATGATATTCGATATGGAATGGAAAATTCGCAACTGACTGTTCTTACATTGCTGGATTTCAGTAATGCGTTTAACACCGTCGATATCGATATCCTACTGGCACGTATGCGTTCAATTAACATATCTCCAATGGTAACAGACTGGTTTCAAAGTTACCTGTATGGACGACGGCAGCGTATACGAGTTGACAACAGCTTCTCTTCATGGTGTCAAATTACTGCCGGCGTTCCTCAGGGTGGCGTCTTATCTCCGCTTCTTTTTGCGCTTTTTATTAATTCTATTACTATGCAGCTTCATTCCTCCTACCACCTTTATGCAGACGACCTCCAAATCTATTCGCAAGCCCCATTACATAACATTGACACTGCCATCCTTACAATTACTGCAGATCTAGATCTCATATCTAGTTGGTGTAAAAACTTTGGACTAACATTGAATGCTTCAAAAACTCAGACTATCGTTATTGGCAGCCCTCGGTATATAGCAAAAATCAATTGGAGCACTCTTCCTCGAATAGTGTTGGACGGAGTACTCATTGAGTACAGTGATAGCGTCAAGAACCTGGGCATCCACTTCGACAGGACGCTGTCTTGGACAGTTCAGATCGCCGAAGTGAGTCGCAGGATTTTCGCTGCCGCAGGCTCACTCAGGAGACTAGGCAATTTCTTGCCAGTCGATACCAAAGTTTCGCTTGCACATACCCTACTTCTTCCTATCCTTGATTACGCCGACACCTGCTACCTAGACCTCACCGAAGACCAATTAAACAAACTTGAGCGTCTTCAAAATATTTGTATCAGGTTTATATTTGGACTTCGCAAATATGACCATGTCTCACATTATCGTGCACAGCTTAAGTGGCTCCCTATACGCCTTCGCCGTGACTGGCATATTCTTTCCCTTCTTTACTCCGTTCTCTTTAATCCTGCTACTCCTAACTACCTCAAAGATAGATTCTTATTTCTCGGTGAGGCACAACATCATGGCTTACGCAGTGCGACAAACCTCCGTCTCAAAATCCCTTCCCACACATCCTCATTCTACACCAAATCCTTTTCGGTACATGCCGTTCGACTATGGAACTCATTACCTTCCTCCATACGTAGCTCACAATCACTACCCAGCTTTAAGAACTCGGTCAAATCACATTATCTTTCCTTATAATGTTTCTTTTCTGTCGTCACCATTGTTATATTACTAGTAGGTATTATTCCTATGCGTGTATCACAGTTACTTGCTGCTTGCATTATTTTTGTGTTGTGTTGTATCTATTTATTGCATGTTGTTATGTATGTATGTATGTATGTATGTATGTATATATATATATATTTATATTAATATAATATTAATATTGGTGTATACTGTTTATATATGTAATATGTTATGTTATTCATTATTATTCATTTGTCATTATTATTATTATGTTTTTTTTTCTCTCCTATTCTAGTGCCACCTCCCACCTTTTGTTTTTTTCTCCTCTACCCAAAGGTTGCCTGGAAGAGATTGCATAAGCGATAAGGCCGCCTTTTGTACCCTTTTATTTTAATTACTCTATTAATGTAATTTTTCCTGGTGCAATAAAGAGTATATAAATAAATAAAGTCTCGGGAATTAGTAAGCACGCGAGCAATAAATAGACTCCGTAGACTGCTCATGTTACTCAATAGAGCTTTCGTTGCAGTCACGTTATAGCGGGGTATGTACAGGTGTATAAAAATACACTGATGGGTGATCTTTAAAGTAATTTAATAAGAACAGAAGATGAAGTGTTCACTAAGACAAAGTCGTGGGAACCAGTAAGTACGCGAGCAATAAATAGACTCTGCGGACTGCGAATGTTACTCAATAGAGCTTTCGTTGCAGTCACTTTATAGCGAGGTATGTACAGGTGTATAAAAATACACTGATGGGTGATCTTTAATGTAATTTAATAAGAACAGAAGATGAAGTGTTCACTGAGACAAAGTCGCGGGAACCAGTAAGTACGCGAGCAATAAATAGACTCTGCGGACTGCTAATGTTACTCAATAGAGCTTTCGTTGCAGTCACTTTATAGCGGACGTGAAGCGTGATGAAATCTTTACAGGAACAGTCGTAAAACACGCACTGAAACTTTATGGGCCGAGTAAATATGCATGAACCAGTTTCGTTTGATTTCGAAACAATTGTTGATCTTTGCATAAAGGTTTGAGAAACATAATACTTGTTAACATTACACATTGAATAATTACAACGTAAAATTGTACGCGTGTAGCGTACAATTTTGCCTAGACTATTTACAGGTTGTTTAATACAAATGTTTGTGGTAGAATTCAAATACGAATTCAAAAATCATTTATTCATGTAGGACATTTTAGCCACTTATGAACGTA